CCATCGGTCTCACCTCCACGGCCTCGATGATGGTGACCACATCTCCCTTGTGGAAGGCGAGCTCCCGGGGCTTGGGCTTGGTGTGGTCATGCTTGGTGACACACTGGGTCCCGGGGGGCCAGTGCTTCTGCAAGGGGACGGCAGCGTCAGCAGGGACAGCGAGAGCTGGACCCCTCTGCCTCCCACACCCACCAGGGCCAGCCCCAAGGACCATCTGGAACCCCGGCTGAGGACCAGGGGCACTGGGCACTAGCCCTCCTGACCCCACGGTCCTGGGGGCAGATGTCACCCCGATGTCAGCAGGAACTGCAGGTGCCCACGTGCAGCCCCACTCACCCCAGGCATGGCCAACCGTCCGCGCATCAGGGACTCCCCGTCCTCTCCTGCTGCCACCTGCAGAAGAAACCAGAGGGCTGTGGAGGGATGGGGCTGAGCTGGCCCATCCCAGGCCACCACCGCTGCCCCACAGGCTCCTCTGGCCAGTGCAGCCCCCGTCTGTCACACAGCCCTGCACCACGGGGTGCAGGAAAGGCTCAGAGCAGGCTGCAAACCCTGCCCTGTGTCCCAGGGACACTCCTGTCCCACACACAGGAGGGAGCAGGACCCAGCTCTCCTGCTCTCTGCTACTGGCACGACAGGAACCCAGAACTGCAGCTGTGGGGGAAGCAATGCAGTTTTAGCAGGAACTTGCTCTTTCACCTCCTCTTTCGGGACCTCCAAGTCATCAGGGCCATGAGGTTGTGACCCTGCAGGTGTGGGATGCAGCAGGCTTGTGTGGGGGCTGCCCTCCACAGCGGGGACACTGACAAGCCAGGCTGGGCTCAGGGGGGACTGTCACACCCACTGACTGTGGGAGGATTGCACAAGGTCCTTATGTTCTCCGTGCTACCAGCTGGTCATGCTGGGGTGCATGTGACAGTTCTGCAATTCAAAATTGTGGGTTTTCTCCTCCTGGAGTCTGTCATCACCAGTGTCATCTCCTTGGGAGGATCACAGACTCCCAGAATGGTTTGGGTTGGAAGGGACCTTAAAGCTCATCTTGTTTCCAAACACCCTGCCATGGGCAGGGACACCTTCCACTAGCCCAGGTGGCTCCAAGCCCCGTCCAACCTGGCCTTGGACACTTCCAGGGATGGGGCAGCCACAGCTGCTCTGGGAAACCTGTGCCAGGGCCTCACCACCCTCACAGCCAACAATTCCTTCCCAATATCCCATTGAACCCTGCCCTCTGGCAGTGGGAAGTCATTTACTCCAGGCCTTTGTCCAAAGTCTCTCTCCAGCTCTCCTGGAGCCCCTTTAGGCTCTGGAAGGGACTCTCAGGTCTCCCTGGAGCCTTCTCTTCTCCAGGTGAACCTCCCCAGCTCTCCCAGCCTGGCTCCAGAGCAGAGGGGCTCCAGCCCTTGGAGCATCTCCGTGGCCTCCTCTGCACTCACTCCACGATCTCTTGATGTTGGTGCCTGGAGGCAGCTCTGCAGGGGGGTCTCACCTGAGTGGGGCAGAGGGTCAGAATCCCCCCCTCACCCGCTGCCCACGCTGTGAGATGAGCTCCTTGGAGCAGAAATGACTTTTCTCTGTTCCTCTTATGGAGGGTGAATCATGGTCACCCCTCTGCATCACCAGGGGTGAACTCATCCCTGTGACAATGTGGCTCTGAGGTCTGTCTGACTGACTGTGCCAGTCCCTACCCACAACAACAACACAGGGGCAATTGCAGCTGCTACAGGTTAATATTAGAAGGCAGCAGTTGTGACTGTACCAGAAGCCACCATCAGGCAGCACTGCCACCCCCTCACCCTGCAGCCCCCCCATGGCACACGGATCATCTTGGTGAAGTCAGGGATGTGGAGGCTCCATGCCTCTCTCCCCAGCAGGCACAGCCAAAAGCTGACATGACTGGGTGCAGCTCAGCTCACTTCCAGGAGGGTGAGGACCTCATAGGCACAGAGGTTCAGAGCAGGGTCCTCTCTATACCCCTCACCATGGCACACCCTGCTCCAGGGAGGGACCTGCTGGCTGAGCCAGGAGGGCTGATGGCAGCTCTGACAGTTGGCCTTTCATTTCCTGCTTCTCCAGCACAGAAATTTCTGGTGAAAAGCAGTAACTGTTTGCTCAGTCTTGCCCCTGTGTGCAGACAGGGGCGTGGGGTGCTGGACACACACCACACATGGACACTGCAGCTGGCAGAGCCTGGAGACCAGCCAGTGCCTCACCCACAGGGACAGCAGAGAATCACCTCCCTCCTGGTGACACTTGTCCTAAAGCAGCTGTATGTTCCTGGAGGTGTTTGATTGATGAGGTTCCCATCACTGGAATAAGCGATCCCACAATCCAGGGGTGTGGGCAGAAAGCCTGGGAGAAGATATTTGCTCCCTTCTGCGTTTTGGGGCCGTTCTGTACTTCTATTAATCGGTTAACCCGAGCATTTGCAAAGAGGATAAGATGCACAGAAACGTGGTGGGGTTTGGTGGAGCCGCCCTGACCCTGAACTGGAGAGCTCAGGCTTGTTTTCAGTGCACGGAGTCCCTGGTTGAGAAGCTGCCAGACCCGGCAGCACCGTGACAGGAGGGGACACCACGTTGGGAGGCTGCACCTCTGCCCTGCCCCGCGATGGGAACCAGACACGCCGTGCACCCCCCTCTGAAGCAGAGACCACGGAGCTGTTTCACAAACACCCGGCTGCCCCCAGTGTCACTCGGACAAAGGACAGGTACAGCTCCTCTGCTGGAAAACGGGTGACACCTGGGCCTTTCCCCACTGCCCACCACGCCCTTAACACTCAACAGGGCGCCCGCCCCTCCCTGCTGACAGAGGGGACACAAGGACATGTCACCTGCTCTCGGCACCTCTCAGACCCTCGTTCTTACCTCTCAGCAGTGGCCATGTGGGGCCACGGGGCAGCAATGTCTGGGGTAGCTCACAGCTAAGCCTGGAGTTGGATTGCTGAACTGTTGCAGGGTAGATCCTCTTTCCCACGGAGGGCCAAGCTCTGCGTTCAAGGGCAGTTCTCAGAAAGAGCCGCTGCCCAATTTCCTGATTTCTCTGCTGGGGAGGCTGCGGAGCAGCGTCACGGCGGCCCTAGCGCCGCCCGTGCCCTCAAACCTCCATCGCAGGTGACTCATTATTTGACAACACTTAGAGCAACTTTCTGCCCTTTGAGAGCACATGCACACACCCCTGCTGGAAGGGAGCTGGAGCTCTCCAGATCCTGTCCCCTGCGGCACCGTGTGACACTCACAGAGCTCACGATCCCCTCTGCACACAGGGACAGTCGCTCTCACCACCGGTGGCTTGGCCAGAGCAGCGACCACGGAGTGGGTGCCCATGGTGGCTGAGACTCAGGAGAGGGGGAGCTGGGACCAAGGATCCCCAAGTCTAATCCTGTCTCAGCATGGACTTCTGTGAGCCCCAGGAGAGGCTGATCCAAGAGCAGGGCCACCCCTCTCTGTTCCACAGAAGGTGATAACTCAGACGCTGGGATGGGCAGTGGCAGAGAGATGTTTAACTGAGCTCTGCTGCCAAAGGGCAGCAGCTTATCTGTGTCCTCCAGCATCCGCAGCTGCCTCCACAGCTCATCATCCCAGCCAGAAAACCAGGCACCACTTCTGCACTGATGTTCAGCATTTCCTCTATTCTGAGCAAAATGGTGAAAAAGAAGAAAATGCCATTTTGGCAAACACCGGACTTCATCCAGGGGGCTTGGGGGTTTTTTGGGGTGTACTTTTTTGTTTTGTTTTTAATACAGTGGTGTTTAAGCCTCCAGAAAACACTGTGGCAACTCAAGGGCAAGGCAGTGTACAAGAAAACTAATCCAGACTAGCCAGTGCTTTCAGCTCCATGTTTTTCCATCTACAAACAACTTGCCCAAGCCATTGACACCAATCTGTCCATAGGATTCTTGGGACAGATTTCCCCAGCAGCACTCCTTGCGTTATCCCCTGTATTTCTAGGGATGGATCCTTAGATACTTGGTTTGTTTAGGCTGGAGAATAAACAGACAAGTTCCCCCTTAGTGCCCTGCTGCACTCACAGGGTCTGTGCAGGAATCCCTGTGACAAACGTTTCGTACTTCTGGGTTTTGCCACATCCGGTTGTTGTCACAGACGTGACCACGGGCCAGAGAACTTGGCATCACACAGATGGAACAACCTGCTCAGACATAATAAATGGGCTTTCCCCGTCCTGCTGCATGGCCAGCAGAGATTCCCACTTGCTTCTGCAGGAGCTGGCATTCTGGGATTCTGTGATTCTATAAAACAATGGATTACAGAGATGTAATCACCTATGGAAGCGCTGAAATGCATCCCTCTGCAAATACATATTTTTGTATGGCTCACGACCTTCATCCCAGAATATTTAAACAGAACCTTCTTAACATCCCCAAAAATGTATTTAAAGAAGAAACAGCTTCATTTGACAATAAAGAACATAGAAATGATGTTCTAAAAAGCCACTGAAAATACTCCAAAAAGCCTGAAGGAATGTGAAGAGGGATTTGAAAATGAACTTTGAAGGAAGAATCACAGAATCCCAGAATGGTTTGGATTGGAAGAGACCCTAAAGATCATCTTGTTTCCAACCTCCTCTGCCATGGGCAGGGACACCTTCCACTAGCCCAGGTTACTCCAAGCCCTGTCCAACCTGGCCTTGGACACTTCCAGGGCTGAGGCAGCCACAGCTTCTCTGAGAAACCTGTGCCAGGGCCTTCCCACCCTCACAGGGAAAAATTTCTTCCCAATATCCCATCTAACCCTGCCCTGTGTCAGTGGGAAGCCATTCTTTGTGTCCTGTCCCTCCAGGCCCTTGTCCCAAGTCCCTCTCCAGCTCTCCTGGAGGCACTGGAAGGGGCTCAAAGGTGTCCCCAGAGCCTTCTCTTCTCCAGGCTGAACATCCCCAGCTCTCCCAGCCTCCAACACATACACAAAGCTGAAGCCTGTGGCAATTCCCTCACTGACTGGCAGCATCAGCACCCAAAGTGCTCTGCTCTGCTTCTCTCCTCTGCACTCTTTTTCCGTGTACTCATGGCAGCACCAAAGTCACGTTACAGCCAGTCCTTCACACGTTTGCTTGGTCAACTTGGCTCAAAAACACCAAAAAGGAAGTGGCTCCGTTTCTAAGTACACACTGCACATCACTGCTCCCAAACAGCCCCCCCAAACACAGGATTCCTGCTCCTCCACAGGGTGGGGGATAAACCCCAAACCCATACAACAAAATGGGGCAGTTTCAGGCACTTCAGGCCAGGCCAGAAACTGCCCCCAGTCCGAGGGCAGAAATCTAAAATTATAAAGAAAATGGATAAAGAACGCACATGATACTGAGGGGAGGGATTTATTTCTTTTTTTCTCTAGTATATCTGTCTACCTGTTTTGCTGTGGAAAGAGTTTCTTCTGGAGCAAGGAGTGGGAGGGGAAGGAGACATAACAGAAGGAAAGGAACTGTTGCTACAGGCAACTTGACTCTTACACAACGGTGCAATTTCTGTGGTGATCATGGAATCACAGAATCACAGAACTGCTGAGGTTGGAAAAGACCTCCAAGATCATCAGGCCCAACCACCAGCCCAGCAACACCATCGTGTTCACCACTAACCCCCCTCCCCAAGTGCCACATCCACACTGTGTCTGAACACTCCCAGGGATGGTGACTCCACCACTGCCCTGTGCCAATGCCTGACAACCCTTTCTGTGAAGAAATTTACCCTAATATCCAACTTAAACCTGCCCTGGCATAACTTGAGGCCATTCCCTCTTGCCTTGTCACTTGTTAACCGGGAGAACAGACACAGCCACACCTGGTTCCACCCTCCTAAATTGTACAATTTTGGAAAATTATAGCACAATAAAACTACCTACAGTGCACTATTTTAAGAACATGTTATTTTAAATGTAAGATATCAGACTAACCCAGGACCTCTTTATAGGATAAATTAGAATCATGTGAACATTATTTCATACACACAGTGTCATTATTAGGCAGCACCTTCTTTTTTGTCCTATTTTCCACCTCCTTCACCCTCTGCTCTTCTACCTGTCTCTCTTCTCTTTTTATTCTGTGTATTGGAAGATCCCAAGTCCCCTGTTTATGTTCAATTTGTTTATTTGTTTGTTTTTCTCTAAGCCAGCACTTTTAAAACATGACAGGAGAAGGAGGAGATAAAATGGGAACAACCCGAGTGAAATGAAGGCAGCTCTATGAAGGGAACATACAGAAATCTGCAGTTCCTCCCACACACACTATGGAAGGTGGCATTTAAAATTATTTAGAATATCATCACCACCACTACACCACACACAGAAATTAAGCTTATATTGCAAACCTTCACCTAAAGCTAAGGTAGCCAGCTCCTTGGAAAATACAAAATCAAGAATTTGGTGTTCAAGTTGAAGCCTTCATAATCAACCTTCTGCCCTGAGCCACAGAGTTTTCAGGCAAGACTGGTTACAGCAATTTTAATTTATTCTCATACTGGGTTCTCTTTCATCATATTTAACTCGAGTAACTGTAGGATTTTGATGTTTTCTTATTCGGTATTGATCAAGAAAGTCAATGCTCTCATTGCAGAATCAGGCAAACTGTAGCTGTTAATGAGAAAGAAGTAATTATGTGTAAATGACCTTTCCTACTGCATATCAAACCAGGAGTGACTGAGCAAACAGGCTGGGAAAGAGCTTGAGTCACGCACTGGACAATTTTATGTGCTACAATAAGTTCTGTGGCTTTCCACAGAAGCAATAAAAAATGGGACAGAGGAGTCAATGGCACATAGAAACAAGGAGCATTTCATTTATGGACAATGGGACTCTCAGTCAGTGGGATACTCCCACCTTGTGTTGTCTCTGTGATGGTAGAACCAAATTAACCAGGTCCCTTCTGTCCAGGGGGTTGGGATGGATCTCAGGGAAAGGTTCTTCCCCCAGAGGGTGC